GAGAGTTAATCCATGGCATCTTTCATCCTTCCTGGCTAGCTACTTGCTTCTGTGACACCTGTGGCCTCTCAATTCTTTTTTTTTTTTTAAGACTTTATTTATTTGATACAAAGAGAGAGAGAGAGACAGCACACAAGAGCAGGGGGAAGGAGAAGAGGGAGAGGGAAAAGCAGACTTCCTGCTGAGCCAGGAGCCCGATGTGGGGCCCTATCCCAGGACCGGGGATCATGACCTGAGCTGAAGGCAGTCGCTTAAAGGACTGAGCCACCCAGGAGCCCTCAATTCCTTTCTTAATGCAGCTGTTTAGGTCTGCCAGAGGAAGCTACAAGGAAAGTCCCCAAGATGACATTCTGTCGGGGGACCAGAGCAGCAACCAAAGGCTCTTCCAGGGTCCAGCCACATTGAGACTCCCGCAATCCAAGCAGGGTCCCTACTATTTAACCCTCTACTCCTCTACCTACAGGCAATGCTTCTTTTTTCCTCTTTTTCTGAAGTAATGTCAATTACTCTCAAAATTCTCAAAGCCCTGCTGCTTAGACTCAGTGAATAAAGCATCATTTGAAAAGATACAAGACCAGGGGCACCTGGGTGGCTCAGTCGGTTAAGCGTCTGCCTTCGACTCAGGTCTCATGATCCCAGGGTCCTGACATGGAGCCCCGCATCAGGCTCCCTGCTCAGCGGGAAACCTGCTTCTCCCTCTCCCTCTGCCTGCCGCTCCCCCTGCTTGCGCTCTCGCACGCTCTCTCTCTGACAAATAAATAAGTAAATCTTAAAAAAAAAAAGATGCAAGACCATATATGTCATGATAAAAGAATGAAACACTGATTTTTTTTTTTTAGTCACGAGAAAAGAGTGTCATAAAATTTTCATTGCAATACACAAGCAGGATGAATGATATATATTAGCTCCTGAAAGCTCTGAAAAGCCTTCTTCCTTCACTGAAAGACAGGAGGGTTTATCGGTTCAGCTGTTCACAGCTTTCCCCTCATTCAGTCTTTGCATGAGAAACATAGTAATACTGCCTTGAATAGTCCAAGCTGAGTTGAGAAACCATCTGTTAGAGATGTTCTCAGAAATTCCTGCCTTGGACGGAAGGCTGGATGTTAACCTTCATGGTTTCTTTCAACCCTTGACTCTCCTTAATCATGGTAAAGATTTATTTTTTCCAAATGGGAAAAGTTGGTCCATGTGACATTTGGATTCTAATGGAATCATTAAAAGATGAAAATCAAGTCTTTCTGTATGTCAAAGACCAGTCCCTCACTCCTACCCTCTCTTTCTCTCTAAGGGCTGTCTAAGAATTGACCATTTCTGCAAAGAGAATTTAAAAATTAAGGGAAAAAGTCTCTAAATTTAGATTCTCTTTATATTAAGAGAAAAAGTCTCTAGGGAAAAATTCTCTGTACTCATCCCAGGTTAATTTACAATTGGCTGCTAGTGTCTGGATGTCACTGCTTATGTGACGGCTTCATGCCTCAATGTTAAACATCAGAATGAGGCCAATTCTAGTGAATAGAAGTCCACACAAACAATTGCTGTTTTTGTTGGTTCCTCTGGTACTAAGTCTAAGAATAGAAAGAAAAAAAAACTGGCAACACAACAGAACCATCTTTTACTGCCACCTTCCCCTTCAACATAAACTGAGGCATGTGTTTGATGGAGGGAGGGGAAGAGTGTTTCTTTTATTTTCCCTTAGTAAAGGAGCTCAGTTCCATTAAGCAATGTTGGAAAACATACTGGAGATAGTATATTTAAAATTAATTTAAAATGTAACGTGTTTTTAATGCCTTTTAATACAAGCAAAAATTGATTTTATTAAAATGCTTTCAGATATTAGAATACAATGATTTATTTATCACTCCAAGTCTGTAGCATAAGTATAACTTCCTTTCCAAGCATATTGATTTTTAAATGTATTTTGGAAGTGGAAAAAGAACCAAAACAGTCTACCAAAATTCTTCACCATCCCTCTTAAACAGAACCAAGTCTATTACGTCCAACGGAGTCTATTTTAAAACAGTATAGAAAAATTATTTTTTCAAAAGGATAGGGTTAACCAATTAGAAACGTTCCTTAAACAACAAAGGACAGGTCATACTTTTCTAAGCTGTATTTTGCTGAGTTGAAGTGTGAAATGTCAAATACTGATAAAATATTCAAAGTTAAGTACACTGAGTCATTGAAATTTCTGAAATACTGAAATGGATTATCAACCTTATTGGAGTCTTTGCAGAACCTAAAAACTTTCATGTTCATTGTTGACATGAAAAACTTAAAAGGTCATATTTCTCTGCAGATTCAGTGCCCAGATAGAATGGATTTAAAATTTAAAGCACTTTTAGAAGAAAATTTCAGTGTTGTAGAAGTTAAACCTGGAGCAAAACTCATCCTTGTTACTTTTTTTCCATGTTTTCTGTTACAGATTTTCTTAGACTCTAAGGTGTCTAACCGAACTCAGAATAAATGTTGCTGCAAACAATTTAATTTTAATTTTTGGACTGTTTAGCTTTTACAATGATGCTCATTCCAACTGCTATGTTAAATATGTAGCAATAATTGTATGTATTTTTCCTAGCTTGTGATATAAGGTGTCATACCTTTTGGTGTATTATTTTTATACCAAGATTGTCTAACTTCAAATGAAGAACTCCATTTCAGAGCACTGCTCAAAGATAAAGACTATCATCTAAGGATTAGAACTAGGCTGATTTTCAGTTATGTATCCTGGTATTAGCTCCCTTCTTATTTTCCACGGAATAGAATATTTTTGTTACTAGTGCCTGGCTTTTATACATCTACCCTTGCATCTGTGATAATGAAAGGGAAGAGCAATACAAATTGTTAAAGTGAAATCCACAGAACATCCAAAATCATTGTGGTCAATGAACGGAGGCATGACAGTGCTGCTGTTAAGAAAAGAAAGAAAGAAAAAAAAAAAAGAACAGACCCTGGAGTAGAGTGTACTAGGATTCAAGTCTAAATGATGTGGGAAACAAAGGCAGAAGAAAAATTATTAAATTTCCTTACTACCTATAGCCCAATGACAAGTCCTTCAAACAGGCAAAGTGACATTCCTCTAGGGACTCAGCTGCCTTGAATGAATACTTTGCTAAGGGAAAATGGTAACCTTAGCTCCACACACCAAGATCCTGAAAGTCTATCTTAACACATAAAAATACCTTTAGAAATCTCCTTTATCTCTAAACCCCCCAAGATACGTGTTGGTAATCATCCAAGCATATGGCCCACCGATACACACGTGAAGGGTCTCATGAGTAAGATTTTCTTAGACAATAATAAATGACCTTTCCCCAACAATAGCTAGCCTCCTCAAGGTCCTAGAAACCTTGCTTCCAAAATTCCTTAGAGACTTAGGCTATCCCTAACCCCCTCCCACCTTGAAACTATATATAACGGGCTGCTCCTCGGGACCCCAGTGCAGCTCTTTCTGCCCACGGGTCCTGTCCCCAGGCTTTAATAACACCACTTTTTGCACCAAAGACATCTCAAGAATTCTTTCTTGGCCGAAGGCTTTGAACCCTAACATCTTTTCCTACATCATAATATTCAATAGCTGTATGACTTGAGCTGTCACTTAACCTCTTCAGGCCTTAGTTTCATTGTCTTCATCTGTGAAAGGAAGGTTGCTAGAGGTTTAAGTAAATATGTGCATGTGTATCTGTATGTATGTGTATGTGTATATATATCTAGTGTTAAATATTAACTATTATTATATTGATTCATCACTTCTATATCTGAACTGCTAATGAGCTAACAAAATTGATTGATCTGATGGTTCTTGCCCTGTTTTTTCTTTAGTTTGTTACAGCAAAATGTCACTTAAGAAATTGAATAAACATATATTGAGAAGCCCTATAGCAAGGTGCTGAGTTAATAGGATCATCACTTCCTGAATACATATGAATGAAGTCTTTGTAGAACTAGCAGAGGGGCTGTTAATACTAAAACAGTAACCTTGCAAGTTAGTAGAACCTCCTATAAGTCAAAACATTAATACCTGAGCTTAAGGACAGAGATTTTGTCTGTATTGGGTCATTGCTGTATTTGCAGAATTCAGGCAAATGCCTTGCAAAGAGTGGGCGCACAATAACTATTTCTTGAATTAACGGAATGAACGGAAATCTTGACCTTTTCTTTAAAATAGGATTAACATTAAAGCAAAACAAACAAACAAAAAGTAAGAGGCTTCCCCATTTTCTGATGGATTTCTGACCCTAAGAATGCTGGTAAGCAGGTAAACAGGGCTGAGGATCAGCACCCGAAGAACATTAAGTGCAAATGTGTACATTTAGGAAGTATTCTAGAAGTCAAGGATTTGGTTCAGCATTCACAGCAATGTGTGGTGTGGAGTGGTGCCACACTTAACTCAGATTCTTGTGCATGTGTCACATTTGTATGACAAATATTTTATTCAGCATCTGACTAATTTTAGTGTCTATACTTATCCTTTTTCCTTGCCAGGGTTTTCAGAAAGGATTTCTGAAATCCTTTACCTATATATGACCAAGTGTCATAAAGTGACACTTTCTGAAAACATTTGGTTTACTTTTAATACTTGCTACTCAGCGTTGACTAGCTAAAATAATCAGTTTGACATGATCCATTTCACTGGTGGGGTTGATTATATTGCATTACTTAAAATTTAGCTCACAACCTCAGATAGTAGATTAAAATAGGTTTCTCAAAATTATTCCTGACAATTGTCTAGATACGTATTCGTTTTTACTGCCATAGCAAACATTTTTTGAAAACAGAAAGAAGTTCCTTTTCAAAGCATAGATGAGCTAATAATTTGAAGCGGAAACTATTCATTTGTACACACTGTAAGTTTTCCTAATTATCTTCGTAATGAAAACTGAGAAAGTATTAGTCATCCTTGGCTAAGCTATACTCAATTCTACTTGTCTTTTCTTAAATATAATAAAACAACAAACAACCTTAAAGGACATTATTAATTGATTAGACAAGATTTCTTAAAATGGTTTTTATCATTTCATTTAACTTTAGAGCTTCCAGACATTAATAATGAGTCACCAAAATGCCATCATTGATTTATAATGCACATTAGCACATCAGGTTTGGCCCAAGAACTCTGTGGGTCCAGAAGGAAAAAGAAAGATGTTTATAAGTGAGCTCTGGCAGAAATATACTGAAAACACTATCTGTATTCATGGTAAACAATTAGGCCTAATTCGAGTACAGTGAACATTCAGGTTCATTTTATTCCAAGGAACTGTTTCTATTCTTGAAGCTCTATGTAGAAAGAGTCCTTAGGGTTAGAACACTATTGAGGGTGGTATAATTTTGCTTGGCCTTTGGGCATATAAGGTAAACATTTTACAACAAAAATATACAGCCATAGATAACACAGGATCTGATCAATGTTAACACGCTTGGCGTTTAAGGCTAATCCACATTGGAAAAACAATCATTTCCAGGATGGAGATCAAATATCTTAACACAGTGTTACCTGTCTGAGTTGCTAGAAAAGATTTATTTAAAAATCGATCCACAGGATGTATTTTCACATTTGTCAGTTTCTTTCCACTTGTGTGCTAGAGGGAGGCACTTTAAGAGTTATTAACGGTGGTAGGGGTACGAGACACTGAGTTTCAGCAGTGATTGGTATATATGGCAGGGAATTAAAGTGAAATTGTTATTAAAAAAAGAAGGTAAACAAATCATTAAATTAGAAAATTTCGCCAAATCTTGTGAAGATCACTAATTTCTGATTTGAATAACTTCCTTGCTTAAAAAAAGATTAGTGGTTATCACCCACGCATGCCCAAATAAATGAAGGTACAATGGTTTTGCTGTCTGGGCTCGAAAGGGGTTTTAAATATTGACAAGTACTTTGAGTTAGGTTTTGAGTAATATTGCAAAATATTGTATTATGCATAGGTTCCAAAGTGTCAGAAAAACTAAAATGTCGAATAGAACATATTGGAAGTGTTTAGTAAAACGTATAAAAATTAAAAGGCTAAAAAAACCCACTCCCGTTTTAAACATGTAAAAATAAATCGAATTGGTTCGTGGGAATCGACTTTTTTTTTTTTTTTTTTTTTTTTTTTTAGTTAGTTGGTACGTACTGCACCCGCCACAAAGCGTTGGAAAGTAGGTCCTGGTACACACTAAGGAATATCCAGCCAGGTAAATACATCAGGGTGATGAGGCCCATGAAATTGAGCGGATAGTGAGAATAGTCCCAGGAACAAGCGCCGCACAGGCGGAGCCCCAGACCCCAGGACAACTCCCATACGTAGATGAAGATCACGTAGATCGGCAGCCGCTTCCAAGTGCTCCAGCCACGATTCCAGTGCAGGTGGAAGTAGAGCTTTTCCACCACGAAGCTGCAGCTGCCGTACATAAAGAAGGACCAGAGCGACGTGTGGCCGCTGGCTGCCCCATCTCTCTGCCCCAGGAAATTAAAGAAGAAAGTGAAGAAGATCTCATCCAAAAAGCCGTGCATTCCGAAGAAAAGAAAGCGGAGCAGGCCCGGAAGCCCCTGACTGGGGGCTCCGCCGACGCCCCGGCCGCCTCGGGGTAGTAGCCGTCGGCCACCTGCAACCCCAGGGGCCCCGGCGCCCAGAGGGGCGGGGGGCGCGCCAGGCCCGTGCTGCGGCTGCTGAGGCTCTGGCTGCCGCCGGTACCGCAAGCGCAGGAAGCGCTTCAGGAACACATGGCAGTGGTAGAGCGCCAGCACATACTGCAGCGCTAGGTCCAGTGTCCCCGGCCCCGCCGCGCCCCCCGGGACGTTGCGCAGGCCGAGCAGCAGTGCCTGGCCTGCCAGGGTCTGCAGCGCCATGTGGGCCGAGGGGTAGAGGAGAAAATTGAAGACGAAGGCGCTGGGGCAGCGCCGCTGCTGCAGGTAGACCTTCTCCAGGGCGAAGTGGGTGAGCGAGTGCAGCAGGCAGCGGTAGGGCGAGGAGAAACCCAGCATCCGGAGGTCCGGGCTGCTAGCAAAGCGCCGAGCTGAGGACACGAGCACGTCCAGGGTGATCCCGTGCATCCCGTAGAAGTAGAGGCGCATCCAGGCGGGCAGCGCATCCGGCCCGTCTGCCGGCGCTTCAGCAGTAGACAGCGGCTCCGGGCGGCTGGCCGCAGCCTCGCCTCCCCGCCCGCCGGGGCCCCCGGGACGCCGTGTGGCGCTGCTCCTTCGCGCGCGACCCTCGCCATCCGCATCGCTGCCAGCCATGGGCTCAGAGGCTGCCCGGGCACCCGAGCCCGCGCCGCCGCCGCCGCCGGGTGCGTGGAGCTGCGGGGCGGAGGAGCTCCGTCCCGGCCGCGGGCGGGTGGCAGCCGGAGCTGGTGTGCCCGGGAGACGCGCGGGCCGCCCGGCTCGCGGAGTCTCCCCGCCGCGGCCCCACCGCGCCCTGCCCTCCAGTCCTGAGTGAGGTGCCGCCGGCCGGCGCCCGCGCTCACTCTGCTTGGCCTAACGGGCGCCGCGGCCCGGCGAGGGGCGGTGGTGCTGGGGCTGCCAGGAGAAGTGCGGAGGCTGCTGCAAACCCCATCTCCTCCGCTGCTCAGCCCCGCCGCCTGTGCTGCGGGCTCTAAAAGCGCAAAGCGAGCAGTGACGCCCCTTCCCCCGGCCCTCCCCATGCCCCTCTCCGCCTTTCTTGGGCTCTCCCGCCTTCACAGGGCGCCCTCCCCGCCCCACCCTCTGAGCCGAGTCCCGCCGGGGTCCGCCGGAGAAGGCCGGGCCCTGCTTCTCCGCCTCCTTCCCCTGCTCTGCCCTCGGGTCCCGCCCGGTGCGGGAGGCGTTTGCTGGGGCGGAGGCTGGAGTGGAGAAACATCTAACAGGTGTGATGGAGAGGCGACGGGCAATCCCTGTATCACGGATCCAGAGCCAGGGCCTGGCTGGCCGAGGTGAATGGCCTAGTGCCACAAACCAGAGGCCGGGCCCGAGACCAAACTGTGGTGCTGTACATGTTCTAATTCAAAGCCAGCTGTGTCCCAGTCACAAAGAATGAACAGGAGACTCCAGGCCTGCACGCCCCCAGCATCTGAAATGTTGCCTCGGGGCCTGGTTCACTTTTTCAATCACTCTCTCTGGCCAGTGCTTTCCTAGGTTAGTCTACTGAGGGCCAAAGACAGAGAGTCAAAGCCCCCCAGAATTATGAAACGATTTGAGGCCAGTTGGGTTGGACACTGCTCTGGCTGCAGAGGAGTCTCATATCAAGAACAGTACCTTTGCTCACGCTGGCGCACCCCAGTGCTGCTTTTTCTCTTTGCAGAACTGGGTCATCCCAGAGACGGAGAGTGGAGTGGAACAGAGGGTGAGATTTTTATTTTTTTATTTAGGTAGAGAGGGTGTGGGAATCTAGAACTTTGGTGTGTTGGGGGCTGCGCTTTTTAATCCAATTTTGAATTGGATTCTGAATCCAAAATTCAGGCTTAGAATTGAAAAGGATTGAAAAGAACCTTAGAGGTAAATTATACTGATTCATATCCCCCCTGCCCCCATCATATCTAAGCAGAAACCAGGTAACAGTTCTAATCTGTAAAGACATGGGATGTTTCTTGGATGGAAGGCTTTCTGGGGATTTTTTTTTTCCCCTTCTGGAGAATTCTGAGGCCATTCCTCCATTTCTTAAAAGGGTCTTCTCCCCACTCTCTACCCTTATTTTAACGCCTTATGTTACAGTCTATAGTTGCTAAATTGTCTGTGATTTAGGTAAGAGAGAAATAAAAGTATGGTGAGAAGAAAAATTGTTAAATATCACTTGTATAAGGTCAACGTAATGACTTTTTTTTTTTTTTTAGCTTTGTTAGCATGTGGTTTATTTGCACACTTCCCTTGACAAATGTCAAAAGTCAGTGGGTGGGAACTGTCATGCCAGGGACAGAAGCCTCAGTTACAGGCTCCTCAAACCAGCTGCAAAACAGGAGATGCTTAGTTGCCCAAGTGCCTGAGCAAGTACAATGAAGAGAAATAATAATGTTAAAAAACTAAGTTCAACTGAGTAAGTTTGAATATCTAATCGGCTTTAATAAATGGTTCATGAATTGGGCGGCACCCCATTTAATAAAGAGAAGTGAGCTCCAAGAAGCTGTACAAAATGGGAACACTTTTATAGGCGGGACATGGAAAGTTATGAGTAAAAGAAAAGAAAGAACTGTATTAGGCAAGGTCACCTTCCTTTGCATGGGGGTCTATCATGCAGATTACCACACTAGTGCTGATCTGGAAATTCCAGATGGTGATTAAAAATCACATTTCTGGGGCACCTGGGTGGCTCAGTCGTTAAGTGTCTGCCTTCTGCTCAGGTCATGATCCCAGGGTCCTGGGATTGAGTCCCACATCGGGCTCCCTCCTCAGGGGGAAGCCGGCTTCTCCCTCTCCTACTCCCCCTGCTTGTGTTCCTGCTCTCGCTGTCTCTGTCTCTGTCAAATAAATAAATAAAATCTTTAAAAAAAATCACATTTCTGTAACTAAGTCTTGGTTTGCTGTCTTGGGGCAAGTGACTCCATATTGAGACTGTTATTATTTTTTTAAACACTGTAAACATTTTCATGAGCACCTACTATATACAAGATGCTAAATACACTGGGAAAATGAAGGGTTATTAGATGCACTCTCTAAGAAGTATATAATCTAGTTCATAGGATAATAACCTATCATATCCGTGTAAAGCCTACCTATGATTATTATTAATAATTATGATCACCTAGTTCCCCCTTATCCACAATTTCCTTTCCCAAGTCCAGAAACAGATGATCTTCCTTCTGACATATCATCAGAAGTTGGGTAGTGGCCTAATGCTATGTCACTCACCTCACTCCGTCTGTCTCATCATGTAGGCATTTTATCATCTCACGTCATCACAAGAAGGATGAGTAGAGTACAATAAGATATTTTGAGGGCGAGAAACCACATTCATATGAATTTTATTATAGTATAATGTTATAATTGTTCAATTTTATTACTGTTGTTGTTAATCTCCTACTGTGCCTAATTTAGAAATTAAACTTTGACATAGATAAGGATGTACAGGAAAAAATCATAGTATACATAGTATATATACTCAATACCATTGGTGGTTTCAGGCATCTGCTGGGGGTCTTGGAACATATCCGTTGTGGCTAAGGAGGGGAAATACTGCACATACCAACGAACACGTTTCTTTAATAAACTCAACCCTGGGCCCAATGTATCAGATACTAAAAACAAATGCACTTGTTCTCCATCACTGCTATTCAAGCAAGGGAAAGCACTTCATCATGATAGCATAAATACAGGCATTCAAACATGCATACGCTAATTTACTAGATTATACTTGAATTGTTTTCTAATAGTAAATTAAACTTCAAGAGCCCAAGTCTTCTATTTATTCTAATCTTTCTTAAAGATGCAAGGAAAACCTTGAAAGGTCTAATTCTATAGTTCAGTCTAGTTCATCTCAGGGAATGCAGGAAAATCTTGGATTAAATACAAAAATTATATCTTCTATTTGTGTATTTTTAACCTCAGCACTTAACAAAATTTCTATTTTGTGTACCATACATATCTTATAAATTATATAGGTATAATAAGGCATGTATAAAATTTATTTATATATATATGTATAGTACACACATATTTGAAACATGCTAATTTTTTAAATTAGGGAATATATAATAAAAAACTTGTGTCTCACCACTGTTGTCAATGTATTGCTCTGCTGAGTGGGTTAGATTGCTAAAAATCTCAATGTTCTGGGCCCTTTTTTGAATCTGCTTCTCATTTATCTTAGGAGAAGTAATGCAAAATACAAATTAACAGTTATAAATCCATAGCAGAAAATACAGCTATTACCTGTTATCCTACGTTTCTTTTTATATTTTTGTTGTGGCCTCTCCGTAGTTATGCCACTTCAAAATGCATGAAACACGAACTTAAAAAAAAAAAAAGTAGAAAGGATAAAAGGAAAGGTTTAAAAAAAGGCATGGGACAAAGGGCAAGAAAACTATTCATTATATAAATTGCCACTCATTCTTTTCACTTACTGCCTCGTTTTAAAAAAAATGAGTATCTTCTACCATTCTGAAAAGTTAGGTCACCAATGATACCAATCTTTGTTTCTGCTTTGTCTTCACATTGTTCTTTTGTTTTGAGCACTTTATTGCTGGGTTTCCAAAAGGAAAACTGCAGCACAGCTTTAATGATCCATGATGATTTTATAATTTACAATCCTCACATCAGAATCTCCATGATCATAAAATACGTAAAAGCCTTCCTGTGTTGGTCTTTGCCACTGCAAACATTAGGTTGCAAAGATGCACCTGTAAAAGCAGGAACTTGTTGGGAGTTGGTGGGCATAAGAGTGAGGGGAGGTTAAAAATGTGAAACAGGAATCTGCAATAAAATAACATCGGGTTGAGACTCCTTAGGTTAGGAAGCAGCCATCAGGGCGCCTGGGTGGCTCAGTTGGTTAAGTGACTGCCTTCAGCTCAGGTCATGATCCCGGAGTCCTGGGATCGAGTCCCACATCGGGCTCCCTGCTCAGTGGGGAGCCTGCTTCTCCCTCTGACTCTCTCCCCTCTCATGCTGTTTCTCTCCCTCTCCCTCTGGCTCTCTCCCCTCTCATGCTGTTTCTCTCTTGCTCGCTCTCTAATAAATAAATAAAATCTTAAAAAAAAAAAGAAAGCAGCCATCAAAAGAATGCTTTGCAACATTGTTCGTCCATGGAAAACACAGCCTTCTTTGACCTCGGAGGCTAGGAAGCTGTCTGAGTAACCATGTCTGTAGAGATGTAACAATGCCGGTCGAGCCCATACCAACCTTCCCGGACGGGCCAGGTTGGAGCCCCGTAGTAGTGTGACCGGGGAGAAATCTGCTAATTGGGAGAAGAGTCCTCTGGAGGATTATGATAATCTCCAGTGAATTGTCTAGTGGCCATCGGGTCATAGTTGTAGACTTTTAGATGTATGGAATGCCTGAGACCTTTCACTGCACACCAGAAGAACAAAGGAAAGTGAATGGAAAGCACAGCATTTAGAAGAAAGCTTAAGGGCACTTCAGTGGGGGACGGCATGAGTGTGATGACAGAAGAAACAGGAAAAGGCCCCAGGCACATTAGCAGTAGATATAAAAACCTTTCTTACTAGGGACTGAATTACACACGCACACACACCCCTCTTATTTACTGTAATCATCAAACTAAGAAGGAGGACACCCATCCAAGAAGGCTTGCAACTGCTATATGCTGGTTCCCT